AAGAAAGAAAAACAACGTATAAGAAGAAAAATATGCACATGAGGAAAACACAAAGGAGGGGGAGGAGAAAGAGTCATTAATGGTGAAATTGAAAGGAAGAAGCAATTTGACCAATTTTCATAATTTTAAAAATTAGACTAATTTTGTTATATAAAGCAAAAGGTTGAATGATCACATTTTAGCATATTTTTCTAATAAAAAAAAAATAAGGACTAGATTATTTGAAAAATAAATCGTGCAATTAAAATATCTCCTTACCGTTAAGATGTAGTTCAAGTACTCGGTCCAAAGAAATTGGGCCTAAGGCTCCTAGCCCATGGTGTCAAAAAATGTAGAACTCTCATCCATCCTTCCTTCCACCACTTTTTTCAATACTCTGATTACAATCATCCTTTGCCAAATACATGTATCTAGCACACTCAGATATATGTGTATCTCAGATATATGCAAGTCAAAGCAGGTAATTTATTCTAGACACAATGTATTTAACTATGATTTGCATGTATTTGGGATATACTGACGCTCTCGCTCGCTTCTCACCATAAGTATATGTATTTTATAATGCATCTAATATCAAAGATACGTGTATTTAGTATAAAAAAAATACATGTTAACTCTCTCGCTCGTCTCTCTTCATATGTATGTGTGTACAGAATGTGAATGGTATCAATGGTACATGTAATAAGTTTATTTGATACATGTATCTTACTTGAAATCTAAAGGAGTTGTGTATCTAACTTAAAATTTGGTATGAACTATTAATTAGTGTGACAATATGTAATATTTTAAATATAGAGTGAGTTAGTATTTCTGGTAGAAATGTTTGTGTAATCAGGTAGTTTTTCCAAATTTAAAATCAATCCATTTGAAAATTAAAAATTTGAGACCAACTTATTTGAAAAGCAAAATTACTTAGATATACGCTAGTTTGTAATATTACGAACCTTACTAGATTTTGGTGCATCCAGATACATGTATCTTGGGATACATGAGGTCAAAATTAGATGTAATTTGTTCTTGATACACTGTATTCAATGGGATAAATAACAAATCTCGCTTGCCTCCCTCCCATCTCGCTTGCCATTTTCCTATGTACCTACCTACCTGGTATCCGAGATACATGTGAATCACACTAGATACGTACAAAAGCATGTATCTAATACGTATCTATTATGATTCACATGTATTTGAAATACATGACTATCTTACTCGGCTCCCTTCCCATCTCGCTCACCTTTCTCCCTATTTTAATATATCTAATAGCAAGAAAAAATATGTATTCAGATATATCTTCCTCAATATATGATAAAAATCTCTTAAGTAGTGGTAACATACATAATTATTTATAAGTATAGATAAAATTAAGAGCAACTTTCACATATAGCAAACACAAAATTCATATTTGTATGTTATAGCAAAGTTTGCATAATTGCGCTCCATAGCAAACATGCTATGACTAGGCTATTTCGCTATACATATATCCAAAAGAAGCAATTGTATAATTCGTTGGCTCCTCTTCAAATTTGAATAATTTCGCTGGCAGGCCATTTGTATAAATTGTTGTCAGCCTCTCGTTTGTATAAATCGTTGAAAGTCTCTCAATTTAATTTTATGTGCTTGTATATCTGTATAAAATTTGAATTTGTATACAATTGAATCTAAATAAAATGTTTGTATATCAAATATCGTTCTCTCTCTCGCTTTATGCAAACATAAATTATACATTGTATTTTGTATAATCTGTGTTTGTATAAAGCGAGAAAGTGAGAAAGGCAAAAGAGAACTGGACAGGGGAATATTTGTATTGTATAATTATAAGTGTATAGTACGAAGATATATGTATTTGCATGTGTATATACAATTTTCTCTCGCTTTATACAAACACAAACGCATTTTATACAATTTGCGTTTTTTGTATAAAGTGAGAGAGGCGAGTGAGAGAGCGAGATCTGGGAGAGAATTTCGCTGGCAGGCCATTTGTATAAATTGTTGTCAGCCTCTCGTTTGTATAAATCGTTGAAAGTCTCTCAATTTAATTTTATGTGCTTGTATATCTGTATAAAATTTGAATTTGTATACAATTGAATCTAAATAAAATGTTTGTATATCAAATATCGTTCTCTCTCTCGCTTTATGCAAACATAAATTATACATTGTATTTTGTATAATCTGTGTTTGTATAAAGCGAGAAAGTGAGAAAGGCAAAAGAGAACTGGACAGGGGAATATTTGTATTGTATAATTATAAGTGTATAGTACGAAGATATATGTATTTGCATGTGTATATACAATTTTCTCTCGCTTTATACAAACAGAAACACAATTTATACATTTCTGTTTGTATAAAGCGAGAGAGGCGAGCGACAGAGAGAGCGAGCGAGAGAAGGAGAGTGGCGAGCGAGAGTTTGAGGGAGAGAGGCGACTGACAAACAGTTTGCTACATGGCACAATTAAATCAAAGTGTGGTTATACCATTTAATTTGAATTAATAGTTTGTCATTATGTACAATTTTTCCTAAAATTAATATATGTGATATGAATATATGTCTAATAAAATAATTTTCCCTTAAACGATCCCCTTACCAGTAAAATGCAATCCAAGTACTCGATCCGAAGTAATTGGGCCTCAAACCCTTAGCATGTGGTGTCAAAAAACATAGGAACTCTGATCCATCCATCCTACTACCCATTGCTTTCAATATTCCAATCACAATAGATTTTTTATTTTTTAAAAAAAATGTGATAATACAAGCGATTAGTGAAGTTCGTTTTACGTTATGAGGAAAACTTCAAGACAAAAGCAAATGAATTAAGTCTACGCGATGAGAGATTAATAGAATTAAAATCCTAGACATTCACTTCTTTTATTAATTTTATTTTCTCTCTCCTTATATAAATTTTATTTACATATGAAACAAATGACTAGTTGATATATATAAATTAAATGTGAATTTTTTTACAAGATATAAACTTGTGAATCAATTTTTGTATTTGAAAAAATCTCAAATAATGATTTGAAATTCCCAAATTATGATTTTTGGAGAATTTGAGATTTCATCTCATGATATGAATTCATGAGGTGAAATTAACATAAAATCACATGTTCTAAAGCTAATTTCATCTCATAATTGCATATTACGATATGAAATCGCATGTCCAAACGCCTTCTTAGTCTGCACGAAAGTTGGGGGTTACTGGCTCTTGAACCAATGCAGATTTTCTGTCCTAATTTTTTTTTGAAATTGGTGATTTTGTTTAATAAAAGAGAGACTTCAATTGAGAATGAAAATATTATTTGATCTTCGATATCTTGATTGTTCAAGAAGTTTGACCGTCACATTATTGGAGCTGGACATGCTCCATTTACATTAGTTACAACTTACAAGGAGGGAACGTCAAAGAAAATGTTACTAAGTAAATTGAGATAACTATTTAGGAATTATTTGGTTGAGTGTATTAGAAAAAAAAATATTTATATTAGTTTTGTATGTTATTAGTAGCTTGTTTGATACCGTTTTTTAATTTATATATATATAGTTAATGTATATTTTATTTGGTATTAAGGTATGCATAACTAATACACGAAAATATATGGTATTAATAATACAAAAAAATTTAATGCTTGCATTAGCATGTTTAAAGACACTATTACACTCAAAACATATTCCACGTCCTTTTCATTATATTTGTGGAGCAAAATATTTCTATTTAGAAATTTATGTGATACAATTTTTTTTTAATATACCAACTCAAACACAACGAATAAAATAAACTCAATATATTTAATATCAGCATTACTCATACATTATATTTAACACTATTCATATACACCTTACCAAACGAGTCCTGAATATGTGTTGTGATTGTCAACTTTAATAGCACATAGATTGAAATCTACAAGTTTTTTTGCAAATGGTTTTGAAGTTGTTGTTTTTTTCTTTTTGTCCTAATATATTCAGAAGCCAGCCAGGCAACTGATGAAATATTGTTGTTACCTACCAATGTTCTTCATTTGGTTACTGCTATATGATTTAGATTGAGAATTCTAAGTTTTATAAAATAAAATAATAAAAAAACAACAGACTCCTATTCTGATTTATGATCCTGCCTGCCACATGTGCTCCCTTTCCATGAAGAAACAAATTAAATTTAAGCAAGTGGATATCAAAATTCTTGTACCCATTATAATACTTATAATGAACTTAATTAGTACACTTACATAATTTATTAAAGAATTAACTATATATAAAACTAGATTTGATAAATACATAGGTTAATTAAGTTGCACCCCATCATATACATCTAATAACCATGTCTCTCCTCCATCATGGGTGTAAAAAGTGTTCCACAAATAAGTATTATTAGGATAATTACACAAGGGTAATAATTATTACTCACATATCAAAAATAATGTTTAGCGATAATTAATTAACGATAATATCTTAATTGTCACTAAATATATATATTTTTAGCAGTAATTACAAGTAACAATCACATTTTAACACCTTTGTTTAGATGCCGCTAAAGCCTATAAGGACATTAGATCAGTGACAATTAACTAATGTCGGTAAAAGTTTTAACACTCTTTGTTAATGTACCTATTTATTGCCACTAAAAGTTATTTTTGTTGTAGTGATTGAAGCTCTTAACCCACATTCACCTCCAACCATCATATGTGTATGTAATGGTTTTGTAGTATTATTTGTCTCAACGCTAGACAGGAAAAATAGAAGAATTCAAATCGCTAAATAGAAAATTGAAAAAGGCCAAGCTATGAACAATACTCTTTTCAACAATAAATAAACTAAAAAGCTAAAAATCCGATATCTAAATTGAGGCTTACTCATTTAAGTGTGATCGTAGATCTGGCATTTGAATTAGTGAAGATGCAATATGCAACTATAGAGGAAGAAGCTTAGAGGTTTCAATAAACATATAATTCAATGTTTATGCTTAATAATTAGAAGCTCCTATAATATGTTAGCCATCAAGAGAAAGGGATTAGATAAGAAATGAATAAATCTAACTAGTAACCTGATTGACAATAATAAATTTTTTTGTTTGTTTTTGCTTAGAAAAATTACAAAGAAAAAAATAAATAAAATTGGAAATTAATTAGAAGAGCCACTACAGAATATCTCTAATAATAGCATTGCTCTGAGCAGCCTCTCATCCTCTTTTGTTATTTGATCCAATCACCACCTTTAATTCTCCATTCTAATAATTGCTCTTTCTTATCATCCTTTTCATCATAATAATTGTACCTATTCCACAGCCAAACAAACTGTTTTTTTGTAATATCAGTTTCCAATTTTATATATTTAATAAAAACCACTATATACTTAGCTAATTATTATTAATTTATTCAAAAAAATACTGAGAAATGATCAATAAAAAAATGAAGAGAATCTCTAGCATTCTCACATGGTCATGTTCCAAGTGATTGTATACCATGTGACTTCCTTGATTCTTTTTAATCATCAACATAGTAAAATAATTTATTGAAATATTTTTCACACTTCATACTAATTATTACTACTAATTGTAGCATTACTTTTAATTTCATTGCTTTACTCTTTCTCTTAATTTGTTTGGAAAAAAAAATGTTTCCCTTCTTTTATTCAACGTATCTTTAATTTAAGACCGCAAGATTCAAAAAGAAAAAAATCTTAAATTTCATGTTAAATTCAAATCAGACAAATAAATTAAGATAAAGAAATAATCTTTATTCATGAACTTCGAGTATCATCTGAATAATTAAATTGAAAGTATTAAAATATCTTCACCACTTTCGAAAATGAATAGGAAAAAATTAATGTCTAGGTAAAAATGAAAATGAATAGGAAAAAGTAATGTCTAGGTAAAAATGAAAATCTCTAGTCTATACACTATTGTAGTGTAATGAATAATTTTTTTTACTTTTTCTACCCTTGTTGACCTATGGATATGATGAAAAGATTTATGCCACTCTGTAGTAGATTTTGATGTTGAATATATTCTCCTAACACCACGTGGATGTGCGTTGGAAGAAGGATCCAGGCAATTAAGAAATTAATATTATAACCCCATGTGAGACCTACGTGAAAGCATCATTATTTTTTATTATAGTAATTAATAATACTCCTTTCGTTTTATCAAAAATAATCGTCTCATATCAATATAGAATTAATTAAACCTATAGTCAATATGACATTTTGAATTTGAACATTTTCCAATACTCTATATATTGATGTCACTATGTTAAATAGAAAGTGTTGATCGATCTAATATGAGACGGAGGGAGTACCTGCAGTAGGAGGAATTGATGTGGGCTTTGACATAAGGGCTGGAAGTGCAGGTATTGGGCCAGCAGGTGTTGGAGAATAGATATGGGCTGGAAGGCCCATTGTCTGTGACTGATGATGAAAGTGATAGTATGGGTACATTGGCATCATTGCCTGACTTGGATACACTTGAGAAAAATGCCCATTCATGTAGCCCCCACCATTGTAGCTTACTTTCTGTGCACCATGAAAAAACAAAATTTTAATGCGGGCTTCGAACACCGGATGAAAAAAAAAAAAGGCTGAATAATGAACAATTGTTTTTTTTTTGTTGGTGAACTTACATGATTGTAGTTCACGTCTGTGGCAATATAAGCTGGAGAATACCTGCAAATATACCAACAGTTTATATAATTATGTCTCTATTTTTCAATTTATAAGATAGGAAATTCTTTAAAACAATTTGACCATGGTTGCCATCATTGTTGTATCAACTATGTAAAATAAATTAAATATTGGGACTTATCTTACTTCTTTTTAGAATATTTCAAGTAGTATTCCTTCCTTTTAATTTAGGAAAAAAGGTTTGATATACTCATTAACTTTGTCATTTAAAACTAATATATTTATCGTTATAAAATTGACATATATCCTTTTTCATCTAAGAGAAAATGATTTTTTTAAAACTATTTTACCTTGGGTATAGTCCAAAATCATTAATTATTATAACTTAGTATGTCCGCGCTAATTTAGACGGTGTTACGCCAAATCTTACCGCATAAAGGAAAAAGGAGGGAGTCTTGTTAGTAAGAATAAGGTCTCATTTATTTGCATTTAATGGAGGTTTGAATCTGAATGGTTCAAGCATTAAGTTGAATGAAAAACTAATTAAACTAGAATAATATTGAGATCCAAATCAAAATAAAAAGATTAGAGAGTAATTAGGGTTTATTTATTTATATATTTACCCATAGAAAGGAAGAGGCTGATGATGGTGCTGATGGTGAAAGGGTGAAGCCGGAGCTGCAGCTTGGGGTGCCGCAGCAGGATAGTACCACTGCACGTGACTTGCAGGTGATGCTGAATTAGCCCTTGGTCCTACCACATTAGCTCCTTCAACATTTTTCAATAAAAATATAAAATAGAAATTAGACTTCACATAATTTATTATCACAAAAATCTATCTCTATTCAATTTCCATGTCAAATCGATAGATGCATATTAAGTGTTTGCATATAAATTTCTATACATAATCATGATCAATTCATAATACTATAGTTTCATCTTATAAGTTCCCTTAACCATGGTAATTTGATGTAAACATTGAGTGTCAATAAATTCAGATTCATTATTTAACATGATAAATTATAGAAAGAGAAATATTGAAAACATGACGTACATTATCAATTTCATTCTCGAACTATTGTAAGCCTTACAAACACCTCTTTATTTGACTAATTGAACTTAAATACACCTTGATCTTGCAATATGAGTGATATTCACCCTTAAATTCTCCCCAAATTTACGGGTACTCTTACAATAGTTTGAGACTACTTGCTATGTATTCATATGACAGATCGGAGATTTATCCGGGGTATCAAAATCTAGTTAATCTAGTAAAGAAGTATTTTTAAGACCGTCAGTAATTCGATATAAAACTAATAATTTGTGTGAAGGAAAAAATGTTTTCAATACTTCTCTCATATAATAAAATTTTCCATAAGAGGTACCTTGTTGAGGAGGAGGGGGGGGAGTGATAGAGGGAGAGGGGCGGGAACGACGGGCGCCGAGGGACGCGAGATTACAGTTGGCTCGGCGCCCGTTGATAATGGGAGTGGCATCCTCGCATGCTTTTTTGGCTGATTCTGCGTCCTTAAAGGTCACCTATCCAAAAAGAGGCGAAAAAAGATTGAGTCATTTTACATAAATTAAAAAGTAGTAAACGTTAATTTGTCATACACTAATCTTGTAAAAATAAATGTGATAGAGATTTAAATAAGACAAGGAGAATTGATAACATACAAAGCCATAGCCTTTGGATCTTCCGGTGAGCTTATCGGAGATGATGACAGCTTCCAAGATGTCACCATACTTGTCAAAGTGCTCTTTCATGGCTTCCTTAGGAGTTTCCCATGCCAACCCTCCTACAAACACCTTTGTTAGCGTCGTATCCCCCAAGTTGTTGTGGTTAATATTGCTCATCGTCATGTAGAGAGAGAGAGAGAGAGAGGACTAATGAATGAAGTTTAGTTAGACTTCAAGGACAGAAAATAGAGGACTTAATTGAAAAAACAACTTCTTCAAGACTATATAAACTTGAGAAACAAGAGGGGGAGGAGGAAGTTAAAGGGGGATCGGGAGATTGATGGAATATTCATCATATAATATACATACATTAATAATATATATAAAAGGATTTTTAATACTATTAATAGCCTAAAAATATATATTCACAAGTAACTAACTTACCATAAAAAATAAAAATAAAACTAGGAATATAATCTAAAACATAGGAAAATTACTTGCTTCAAAATGTTACTCTCCCTGTCCTAATTTATGTGGCGTTTTTCTAGAGTCAAACAGTTTAATTTTGATCAGAAATTTGCTCATGGACTCTTAAAAAAATTTGAAATACAATTTATATATTTGTAAATTACGTAAAAAGTACTATAAATCACAATAGTTTTTAAAAAAAATATAAACTTATTTGAATTTCAAAATACGAAAAGTACCACATAAAATGAGACAGGAGAAGTATATAACTTTTTATAATGTCAGTGTATATAAATTAAACTTTGACGCCCGCACATATACAATATACACATAGAACTTAGTTGTATATAGTGCATTGTTGTGTGTGGGTGGGGGTGGGGTAGGGTGGGGATGGAGGGGGGTGGGGTGGAGAATAAGAAAATGGAGAAAAGCAGGAGGACAGAAAAGCATACAGTTGGACGATGGGTTGAGGCCATCAACGTGGTCTCCTTTTCTTCATCATCTTCTATCTGGCATTGTGTAATAACTAACATGCTACTCTTCATTAAACTTTACTTACCATATTAAAAGCCCTACCTTTGTATGTTGTGCTGTAATATTTCCTTTCCAAATTTGGAGGCATAACAATTTAAGTTTATGGTCCACGCGTTATTCCTTTCCTTTAACCAATTTAAGAATTTTTATGTATTTGCCTCAAACTTCTAATGCATATTTGGCTAGAATGGGCAAAGGAGTAAATATACCCCTTCACTTTGCGATTTAGAACATATGTATTTCTTATTAAAAAAGTGGTGTATATATATTCTTGTCGTTTAATGAATGGTGCCAGAGGCGGATCTAGGATTTCAGAAGGATGAGTGCACTATTACGAAAAAATGCATCTAACATATAAATTTGATCGATTTGACCTTTACGTTCTTAACACTGAACCGTTAAATTTTAAAAATTATAGGTCCAACATATATAATACTACTAGTTTTAGATTTTAATATACACATTTGATTTAATTATATAAATTTTTTACAATGCTATTATTTTTTAAGGAATTTTCAATGTAACACACTTGACAATTTTAAAAGATTAAAGCCAAAAAACAAAAGAGAAAAATGATTGAAACGCAAAAAGTGTTATCGATAACCACTTGGAGGAGTATTACTAAAAAAACTAAGATAGATATAAGTTTCTATCTTTGCTTAGAGAGGTGCACTCAATCATCATCGTATTATTTATGTTACTTTTAACATGGGCTCACACCTCTATATTTAAATATTTTTTAAAAAAAACATAACACTACTATATATGATCTAGAGAGGGAGCATGGGTTCACATGAACCCACTGAACCCCCTCTAGATACGCCTCTGAATGGTGCATATATACCCTCATCGTCTAACAAATGGTGTATATATACCTTTTTCGTTAACAGGCTTAATTTTTTAAAAAAAACAATCTTAAAAATAATTTTTAAATTCCCAAAATATCACGTCACTTAAAAAAATTACCTCATCCATTTTTCTTACCCACCCAGACCCTACCAAATTAAAAGAATCTCAATCCTTCTTCTATTCAAACCCAATCCAAACTCATTTTATGAATGAGTAGGCGAGGAATTAAAAAAATTATTTGGATCGGGTCTAGAGGTGTGAGAAAAGGGTGAGATAATTTGTTGAAAACACGTGACATTTTTGCAAAATAAAAAAATCAGTATTATACAACAACATGCCTAGTGAAATCTCACAACTGAGATCTGGGGAGGTAGATTGTACGTAGACCTTACCACTACCTCGTGAAGGAGGTTGTTTTCGAAATACCCTCGGCCCAAGTTCAACAAATCCAGGTGTAAAAAAAAAGGAGACAGTGAAAGAAACATAACAAGTAACAAGGCAAAGTCTACTAGAAATTAAGGAGCCAAAAACAACAATAAAAAGATGTGATAATCAAAACATAATAGACATCATATTAGGATAGATTATTGAAAACAATAATAAAAAACAGAAAAAGAACTACAATAATCCAACTAGTACCAGACAAACACTAGTCATCCTAAGAAACACAACACTACACTACCTACTAAATATCTACCCTAATACGTGTCATCCACATCTTCTTATCTAAGGTCATGTCCTCGGTAACCTAAAACTTCATCATATCATGTCTTATTGTAACACCCCGTATCGGAAAGAGGGAATTAAACCAGATTTTTGAGAAGTTGCAGGTGTCAGCCACGGAGGCCAACCACGGCTCGTGGGTTGAACCACGAACCATAGGTGTGGTCCGTGGGTTGGTCACTCTTCCAGAGTTCAGGGGTCCCAAGTCATGGTCTCTGATGACCAACGACGGTTCACCAGGACGGACCGTGGGTTAGACCACAGCCCATTGACTGGGCCCGTCGTGGGTCACTCAGGAAAAGGTCCAAACATGGACCACAGAAGGGATCTACGGACCGTAGGTCGGTCCACGCCCCGTGGTCCAGGGTTCCGTCGATGGCCAAAATTCTCTGTATTAGTGACGGATGTGGTGGATGGACCGTCCACGGTCCGTTGATGGGGGTCTCATGGGTCACTACTGGCAGTTATTCTTAGGGTTATTTGGGTCTTTTTCTAATTAATTAATTCCTATACTATGTCATTTTGCCTACATCTAAACCACCTATATAAGTATTTTTAACCCCAAAATCCCCCATTTAATTCATTCTTCCTAAATCCCAAAAGAAAACCAACTCCTCTCAAATATTCTCTCTCAAGAACTTGACGAAGAAGAAGAAGATTTCACCTAGGGTTTCAAGTTAAGGATCCAAATTCTCCATTGAAGATAGGAAATTGGACTTGAGGTATGATAGCTTTCATCCATGGGTTCCTTCCACCCATGGAATCCCCAAATTCCTCTATTTCAAATGGTAGGATTCCACAATTAGCTAGAGTTTTCTTCAAACACCATGGGTTCTTTTGATTATTGATCTTAATGGTTTAATTATGTCTAAATATGCATGAATTGATAATTTACAATGCTTTATGATGTATACCCTATGAACCCATGCAAACCCCTATGTTTTCCAAATTGTGATCTCATAATATGAGTTGTTGATGATGAAAGAAGAGTTTTATGATCTAAAGCATGAAGTAATAGAATTACATGAATTTATGATAAAATCCCTATCTAATGTTAGAATTCTAGATTTGGTGATTGAAAGTAGCTTTGAACCTTGAAAGGGCAAAGTGTGAGTTTATGCATGATCTTATGAAACCTATGTAATGCTTTAAGGGTGCTTTGAGAGTGAAGTGTCAATGTTGTTGTTGTTGTTGTGTTGTTGAAAGGTTATTCTCATAAAACACTTACAATCATGATGTGAAAGGTTTTCTCACATAGAAAGGATTCTTAGGTTGAAAGGTTATTCTCACCTAATTGAATAAATGAATAAGAGTTATCCTAATGAACTAGCTTGGATTGACAAGATGACATGTCTTTCCATGGACAATGAAAATAAATAAGAAAATACTATTCCGTGAGAATTAAGCTTAGCAGTGAGTGGCTTGAGATGGAAGATATCTCGTGAGTAGAGGCCGAGTTTCTAGAAGAAGTCTCATGAGATGGAAGCTCACCCGTGAGTAGAGGCCGGGTTTCTAGTAGCAATCTCCTTATCACATAACTATGTGCCCTCATAGGTTGATTAGCTAGTGGATCCACTTAATCTAGATGTTCATGGTTCTACCTTAGGCAAGTAGAACAACCCTTTTCGATGTAGGAGACACCGGGTGATCATGTTTTAGCTCACATGATATCTTTGTCGGTTAAGGCTAGTTCTTTCACAACAAGTTGACTTATGAACTAAAGTTACTTAAAGAAGTATCTTATATGTGCTCAAAGACATAAAGATGATTTAGCTTGCATTGACCATGATGTTATTACCTATGTTTTCCAACTATTTTTATTATGATGTTTAAACTTGGTAAACTGCTTATCATGAAATGAAATGTCATTTTTAGCATGTTTTAAATATTTTTATGTAGAATTATCATACTTCGTGCATTTTTGTACTAACTCATACTCTTGCCTACATTTTTCCCAAATGTAGGGTCCGACAGGCAGGGTTTCCAATCTAGTGGCTAGAGCTTGGACTTTGATCTCTTTTCGAGCTTGGTGAGTCCTCATAGTTCGAGGATGGATTTCCTTATTGTAGTTTCACTTTCGTATTTCCTTTTTGGACATAATGTATGGTCTATGTCCACTTTCATTCGATTGTAATAGATGACTATGTTGAGACATGAGCTAGACTTCCGTTTTTCTATAAGATGTTTTGGACTTAAATATTATTTTTACTTTTTATTGTTCTAATGCTTTATGCTATGAGGATTAAGTGGCTTCTATGGAGTCCTTCGGGGTTCTATACGCTATATTATATGTAGGGGGTACCCCTGGGTCGTGACAAACTTGGTAATCAGAGCACAAGGTTTAGAATGATCCTAGGATGATGTCCCATAAGCCGCGTCTAGTAGAGTCTTGTTCAGGAGTGTGAAGCGCACTAGACTTATGAATGAGAGGCTACAAGATGATTAGGAAACTACACTTTTTTCATTACTCTTAAGTTGTGCCATAGAGTTTAACTCTATAAAGTCTCCCTTCTAATCCTTACCTTATGCTCTTCAGGATATGTCTATTCGAAGAGCTTACACTAGAAGGAATGTGAGGGAGAATATGGAACAAGAAGCTCCTACCCAAGCTCCTTCTCAAGCTCCGGTCGATCCCTTGGCCGAAAAAGTTACTAATGTAGAGTTTAGATCGGCTTTTCAAGTGTTAGCCCAAGCCATGATGGCTCAAGCCAATAGAGAGGTGGTAGTCCTCGTGAACCTTAGTGTGGGTACAATGACTTTAAGAGTGAGATTTCATGAGGATGAACCCTCCGAAATTTCATGGCTTCAAAGTTGAGGAAGATCCTCAAGAGTT